TCCACATTAATTTCAATCTAAATAAATCTATCTTTCATGAAATACCAAACATATTAATATTTCTACAAAAAAAGAGTTTCAAATTTAATAAAACATTTACATGAGCTATAAAAGTATGGTATTTTCAACTTGAATTTCCATAAATTGGATAAAACTAGATAATTGTAATTTCAACAGATATTAATTACGGAATGGATGACAATTATAATAAACAAAGTCATTTTAGTGTGAAACGAGTGTGGACTAATCGAAAATTCAATCCAAAGTCAGAGTAACTTTCAGTTTTACACAGCCTTAGCTTTATAGATGAACCAATCTATCTTTAGACAAAATGAGGCATGTCGTGGCAAAATGGTTAAGTTGTCGCACATGCCAGTATTGAGTAAATGAGCTATAAAATATGTGAGCTCAAAAAATTGCCTAAAAATCCAATTTTTTTTCACTATAGATCAACAGTTTAATGTTTTATTAATCATGTCCCAACATATTAGTTCTGGAAGTGGTCAACAAATTGTTTATTTAATGTTCTTTAGATAGTTAATTTTATTAAACAATGTATGCAACTTTGGAAGGCAGTTACTCAAAATCATGTTTATCTTGACTCTAAGAGTGCTGTGCTTTCACTTTCCAATATTTAGGCTTGAAATGTCCAATTCCAATGAACAGAAATATTTTGCAAAATCTGTCCCTGAAATATACACATATTAACATACTAAAAGTCCGAAATAATTCAGTCAGGGGAGCCTTGATAAATTTAAAGATATTTAATGAGTTAAAATCAAACGGTTTATCTCACAACTCCTGTGATGAAGGATATAAAAGCATGTCATTGCCAAGTTGTTGCTGACGAAAAAATGTTAATAATCACGCGATCCAAAAGCGGGGAACACATTGGTTTGTCGCATCAAAGGGAACTGCTGCCAAGTAATCTCCTTCTCAATAATACCTCCATGGTTAAAGTAATAAGCTAAAGCGGAAGACTGTATGGTTCCTCTTTGGAAACAAAATTTTAGCATAAAAAAAAAACAAAAACAAAAAACACCAATCCTAGATTTTGCCTCTGTCAAATTTGGCAGCACAAACATTTTAAAAGACACACCCATGCACATATATTTATACATAATTACTACAAAATTTACTTTTAGTATTAATTAAATGTTCTTACTTTGTGAGCGCACGCTGCTCCTTTGATATTAAATCAGAGAGGGCAGCAGACAAATACAGTTGAGTGGCAAGAATCAGGCTGACAACTAAGGTTGCACTGGATATTATAGGAATACTGAAAAACAAATGTGCAAAGTTATTTTTAGATGAACTAAGGTTGTTCTCAATCAGGAGAAGATCATCTGAGACTAAATAGGGATGCATTTCACCATTTTTGTCTGCCATCTTTAATTTTTGCTAATACAAATACTGTGTATTCTCACGTATAAAGCGATCCAAAGGCAACTCCGAGTTTGACAAGATGTTTGGACCATTTTTGTACGTTGGGCATATAAGATGAACCCTGTTTTACCGTCAGAAATACTACTTCATGCTGCTTTTTATGGTCTTGATATGCATCTAGCTGGCTAAAAACTGAGCCAAATGTAGGGCTAAATATTCCAAATAATACCGTTTTATGGGCTTTTAACTGTTCATCAAAATATTATTTCCCCGCATTTAAAATTGTTAGTAGCTTCATTTCAATAATAAATTCACATTTTACAGACAATCAGTTTGTAAATCTAACATGATTTAAAAACCCAAAATTTGTATGGTGTGCATATTGTTTTTTAAATAAAATTTGCCATTTTAAGCCTTGTCTTATACTTGAGAATATACAGTACAAAATGCTAGAATATATCAAAATGCTAGAATATATCATATCATATCGAGAGAGCAGCTTAGCTCAGTCGGCTAATCTGGTGGTAGCCACTGTGTGTGCGCTGAACCGTGGAGATCTATAGGTCCCCGGTTCAATTCCCATCGCTGCCTCTCCTTGTGTTTCAGCTACTGTAGAGGGCTGAAATACAAGTTACATAGCGCACCGTCTTTCGGATGAGACGTTTAAGCCGTTGGTCCCGTGTGCATTTATGGCCCATGTGCACAGTACACTCTTCGGAAAAGAGTAGGGGATTGTCTCCCGGTGTACTGTCCAATCACCACCAGACGGACCCCACTGGAAAAAAGTCTTCTAGACTTTCGTGGGATATCCTTGGTGTTTACACCGAATAAATCCAATCCAATCCAATCATACCGGTAACGGAAAAATTATACTATTATTGCAATGCAATTTAGGTTGTTCTCAATTAGGGGAAGATCATATGAGGGTGAACAGGGATGCGTTCCCGTAGTTTTGCCTTTATCATTCTTCATTTGACTAATACAAAAACAAAATGCTATAATATCATTGCTACCGAAAACGACTTATATGCCCTTAACAAAATCGTCAGGACTGCAACGCATATCATTGGTTTGGAACAAATGCCTCTGGAAACCATTTTCCATGATCGGCTTCTTAAAAAGGCAGAGGCTATTATGGGCGCTTTTGCACTTTGTTTCTTTGTTTGTGTTTGTTCTGCCTTTTGGAATGTGTTTTTACCACAGAGCAAAACAAATTTCTATGTTCTCCTGAACAATGACAATAAAATATGATTGATTGATTGATCATACCGTTCTGCAAAAACTGAACATGGCTGATACACTTTCTTTTGTTAAACAAGTTTATCGATACAGCTAACTTATTCATGTCATGTCAAAAGGTTATATAATTATAATGAAATCCAATTACAGGTAAATGAATAAATTACATCAGCTACATTAATTCTAAACAGTACGGTAATACTGACTGTAAACTATTTGGGAAGATCTCTAAGCTATACAAACTGTGACTCCTACAGACCCTGTTTGACCACACCTTAAAAATAATTAACTCTTGGAAACCTTTGTATTTAAGTACAACTGTTTCAAAATTGTAAATACATGAACAAACACCTCCTCCTTTGGGCTATCATGTCAACCCTCTTATCTTTAATTAACTTATGCACCAATATCAAATAACTAATGGTAAAAAAAATGTCCTGACCCACCTCAGATCCTGTGTTCTTAGAAATGCACTTGTGTGGGGTATAAATCACCTTACCAATTATATACTAATTTCATTATATACATGGCTTATGTTAGAATGTGGCTATTTGCCAAACACATGCAGTACATATAACACTATAAAAACTTGGTATCATCAGCAGAAAATGATGTGTTGTCACATCAAACAACTCATTTTTGAAAATGATTTAACTTAATAACTTCATTGAAAATGTATAAATAAGATTTATATATACAGTGGCAACGCCAGGGCAGGAAGGCTTAAGCCTCCTACTGGACAGGCTAAGCCACTTATCGTTCTCAAATCCTCAAGACCCAAAAATTAAATTGACCCGTTTCTCTAGGTTCCAGGACCCTGAACAGGGCTTAACCAGTTGTCTCCCCCACAATTGTCAGACATCCAATCAAACAGCTTAGCCCCTTGAATGTATAAAAGAGCCATAACTGAGTATGTGTAGCTATAAATGTGAGACAAATCTCACTTCATCAATTTTTAACGATATACATGGAAAACAGTTACTTATTCTTGAAATTTAGGGTGCTTTTTCAGAGTCAAGGTTAAAAAATTTACAGGATAAAATCTCTCAATTATGAGTTCCAATAATATATTCCTTAGAGAAATCTATACTGATATTAGCCTTGGACATTACGTGAAAAAACCTTGAATATATCTGAAGCAAATATCTGATTATTATACGCAATATCAAATTCTTGAACAAGGTATCACTGAAATTAAATGTAACATCGTAAGTTTTAGTATATTGGCAAAGTTTATTAAATTGACAGACTATCAATTTGTTCTTGGGAATTCAAAATTTACTCAACCACCTCAGGAAACGCTTTCCAGTCACTGCTCAGCTTCACGCCCAATCACCTCACAGCCTGCCTTCAGTTCAGAGGCAGTACCAGCAGGGGGTATAGTGGTACAAACCCTGTTTGGGAACCCTGGATCCTTGTTGCGGAAGAAGTCAATTATTTTGTCAGGGAACACTGCTTTAAGTTAAAAAAAAAAACATTTTTAGTGAGAAAGCCACTTCTGGTCATTTAGAGGTGCCTATTTTTAAAATTTACTCCAAACACAGTGGAACTTAGGTGAATTTGAACCTCTTTCTGAGAACTTCGACTCTTGTCAGTGATCTTATTGATTTTTTTTAGTTTCAGAAAGCCTATGTTAAAACAGTTTGAACTATTATTGTCCATAAAATATAATTAGTATATTAACATAGAGAAAAATCTGATTTTGTGGTGGATTGATTATTTCAATATCACTTGAACTACAGTGGTTTCGGTAAAATACAAAGGTTAAGTGCTTTTCATTCACAATAATTTTATTTCTCATTGCCGATAAAACTGAATAAGGAGAAATTTACAATATTGATATGTCTAAATAATATATATAATACACATGAAATACAGGTAATACAGGTAGTAGCCATATAAAATATGGGTCACGGTGGATGATAAAAGTGGTAAACTCTAAATAATAAGAGTCTATTTTAAAGATAGGCAAGGGAGTTAATAAAAATGGGTAGGAGAGCCATGAAATTAGCTTTTTTTAGACTGAGTGAAAAACTTCAAGGCTGGGTGCCCTCACCTACCATAACTACATCCCTGTTAATATCTGGTAACATTTAGAATATAAAAATTTTCAAAAAGACCAAAAGGTTTGAATAATAATTCATACAAAATTAAATTAAAATCATCAAGGTAAATAAAATAAACAAAAAAAATATATTCAATTTAATTCAAAAATTCATTTCTTGACCAAATTCGACAACAGAGTTTAAACAAAACAACAAAATCGAATCAATTGAAACAATGGTATAAATAGAAAGCAATTTGGTCAAGAGACTACATAGAAACCTCAATTGGCTTGTCTCTGTAATCCCTCTTTATAGAGATGAAGACAATTATACTACTTAATTAAACTCCCCTATCTTCAAGTTCTCTTGATAATTAGGAAAGCATATCAGGCTGCAACATTTTAAAACAATCTATGGTAAGTGTTGACCGCATTTCGGTCTGAAGATGATCAAGGACCCATAGTCTATTATACTCCATGACAAGATAGGGATGAACCCTAACCCACTTTAAAGTAGGTTTCTCCATAACACCAATTGATATGTGAATGATTATCTTATCACTCTCACCATGACAATTTATAAATAGAAACTTTACAATCCACTTAAAGTATATATTGTTGATCATCATAGGAACTCTGAATTCTAAACCAACCCGATTAGGCACTTCATTTTGTGAGAAATCACCATCAAGGTCCAGTAGATTAAAAGACCAGAGGAAGTTCATTGGAATAAATTGGATCAATTAAAACACTTAATTACCTCCATCCCCTGTGCGCAGCACTCCCATATATATCCAGCTTGTTAAAAGGGCAATCTAATTTAAAACTAAGATTAGTACTTAATTCTTGTCTGCATTATCATCATGCTCTGTAATCAGATGCTACATCATGTGCCATCATCAGGTAATTGGAATACGCTGTCTTGTAAATTAATTACAAGAATTGTGGTTGAGATTTAAGCCTTTAATAAGGCTTAAAATTCTCCACGTTCACTTACACACCGCTGTGTGTGAGAAATAATATCCATCAATAGTCAGGTTACTAATAATAGGAAAAAGCAATCTACTACAAGCAATTGGAGACTGGCCATACACATTTTATATGGTAAAGTTCAGATGGTAGGAGGTGCAACAGTTCTGATGACCAGAGGAAAAAATGAACTCATCAAGTAACGATGGAAGTGGTTGGTGCAGTGGTTAAGATTTGGGTTCCTAACCGCAAGGTCGGGGATTCAAATTTCACACTGACAAATTTCTTGTATTCTTGGGGAAAAATTCACCTGGGAAATAAACAAGCCCCAAGTTCCTTATTTCTTTTTTTATCTTCTGGACAGCATCAACAATGAGCAAATTCATTTGGAGATTATAAGGGACTTGTTTAATGCTGAGTAAAATTAGATGCAGTTACCCGAATGTCAAACAAGGATGTCATACCTTATTTACTCGAATAAATGCCTCCATCGAGTAAACACAATGTGGCGTTCATCTTTCCCTCAAATGAACGCTCCACCCTCCCAATTGAATGTAAACAAAACTAACAGAAGCAACATAATTTTCAGTCAACACATTCTATTAATATTCTACTGCACTCTAGTAGAATTGCATTTTTTCTAACCTGGTTGGAACCTGAGTCACGTGCATTGGCAAATTAGGATTAGGTATAAAGCCAACAGTAGGCCTAGATGGCTATTATTACAAACTCAGAAAATCTCTTTCCATAGTATTCAATGAGTAACCCAACTTAGGGGTTGGAACCCAGGCTACACAAAAGAGTATAAATGGGTACCTGATAATTTCTATATATGATACATGCTGAATAATTAAGCATGACTACAAATGCATAGGGTGTTACAAGAACCGAGGTTGCACATTTCATATGATTTTAATGGACCAGAGAAACAACTGGAAGCTCACTGTTTTCCTCGGAATGGTATCAAGCCAGTCTGTGAAAATCCAGTTTGCAGAACCTGTATGCCAAATTTCAAAAAAATAAAACGTTAAAAATCAAAAAGCTCAAGATGCTAACACTATTTGAATTTACCACCACCAATAAAACAGTGGAACACAGCTAGGAACAACACTTTCAAGCTTCGCTAAATTACTTAATAAAATTCTATAAATCTATATGTCTGTATCTTTTACTTGTTACCAAAGGGGACATCTCTAAAATTGAAACAAATTACACAAAAAATTGTATTGAAGCACTCTGTCTCTGTCTGTCTCTCTCTCCATCAAACTGTTTCTTTTTAAATATATATAATAAGTATACACACAAAAGTTTGTTTTCAATTTTGATAACAACTTTCTTTTGTAATTTATTGAAGACCAACTGAAAAATGGACAATACAATAAATAAATTTATTCTTTTTGAGAAAAAAAAGTGATGAGTCCTTAACCGATCAGTGGGTAACTTTGCTTGAGTATGTGGGACATGATAAAACTGCCCATACAAGTTCAATGAAATATGGAGGAAATCTATTAATAACATGTGCACTTATAGATAAATGGTTTTATCAGATGCATTCATTAAATTCAAAGAACATCAGTTATGTTGTGGTCATACTTAACAGAGGCAGGACATTGCCTTGACTATATGAGGGTCTCTTGAGATGACACAAATTGTAGTCACAAGATAAAAACACATTCTAATAGTATCATCCATAACTATTTATAGAGAATCTGTCAGAAAATATGTCATCTCATGTCACTCATATCTTGATAACTTGATGAAGAAATTTCTGATTGTTATGTGCATGTTAAGGGATTAGTGCAAGTGGCTATACAAATCCACAGCTATCTTTCTACCCTTTTTAGAAAAACCAAGCAAAAAGACATTTGTTATCAAATACCTCAGCTGTTCATGTTCTAGGGAAGGTTATTATATTCTTTTTCAATATCATAGCAATAGATATGCCCTATTATACTGTTATGTTGTTGTGTGCTGTGGGTCAAAGTATTTGCCACTTGTAGATAATATGCTAGTTTTATTCATTCTTATTTTATTTACACAAACCAACAGCAAATGAGATTCACCACCTACACGAGGGCAAACAATAAAATCAACAAGAATAAATAAACGAAGGCCTACACAAAAAAACAATACAAAAGTTTGTTCAGATAACATGACACACAAAACAATGTTATAATACACTTAAAACTTCCTTCCTGAACTAATGCAGGGAATTTGTTATAAACAAAATATTAAGGGGCTGTTTAAGGGCCTTTTTGAGTCAGCCCCCTCATGCAATTTTGTTGAACAAATAAATACATTTGACTGACAAACTTGAAGTAGACAATGACCATCAGCTCATTGGCATTCAATCCTACCAGGTAACCCCCTTACTGTATCTCCTAAGTGAAGAGACATAATCATAACACTCCCATAAGGTATATTACAATCGTTGGTAATCATAATCTTTGCTTTAATACCTCACAAATCCTGCATTTATAATAACCACTTAATATTCTTTAAAACTGTAATTCCAAGAAAGAGTATTCATCAAATTTTCACTTTACTTTCTTTGAAAATTAGGTTTGTTACATATTGTACAAGAGATTGTTGACTTTTGTGTACCAAAACTCATTCAGATTCTTGCTTTTGTATTTTCAATTTCAATTTCTTTTATGGTTGCATACACTGTCACAGGCGAATACTGTATACTATAACTATGCATCCAGGGGTTGGGACATCACGCCAAATTAAATAACCTGCATAATTCAATGTATTTGAACTATGCACCCTGGGTAGGAACGTCTGTGGGATATTCTCCACCAAAGTTTTACTGACCCACAAACTCCACCTGATATTGACCTATTTAATGTTCACTTTTTGAGGACCTCCTCCATAACAGGACTGGTACAATCCATCAATCAATCATTCAAAATATTTAAGCTCAATTTAATCTTAGCAATAATAATTGTGTAGTACTTAAACAATAATGGTAAAGTGCCTATGCAGTCTTGAAATTAGTGTTCAAACCCCCTGTTGCACAAACCCTTGGGTGAGGTACTTTTGTGAACAAATTTCCCCTAAACCTGAAAATAAAAAGCAATATCTCTTTGGCATGCCATTAGCAAAAGAAGGTGGCAGTATTGCATACTTTATTACAGATTTTTTACACATTTTTTCATTTCATTTCTTTAGGCACGAGCGCCAAGGATATGCCAATACTAGTGAACTTAATCACTGTCCTACGTGGCATATCCAATTAACAACAGGGGACTTAATGGACCAGTACACCGGGGTAACCCCCTACTCTTCTCAAAGAATGTACTGGGTTCTTTAAAGTGCACACAAGCCAAATGCATGCACTAGGCCTACGAATTAAAGTCCTTCCTAGAAGACTTGTTCAACCACCGGAACCATTGGCAAGTGAGCCGTTCGAACCAGCGCCGATATTAGAACTGAAGGTTACAGTGCCCCTGACTTAACTGTTTGGCCAATCGACACGCCAACTCACAACTTTGGTAATACTAAGTCAATTCCAGAAAATGACCCATCATTTTCAAAGCTTATTAGAGGATACGAATATATTAGAAAGTTAATTTTGTTGCTTTGGCCATTGATTCTGGTTTTGGGATGGCATGTCTTATATATTCAAAACAATCATGTACAACCTATCAGTAAGAAATTAAATTTTTTAAAAGCATATCATTTTACACACCTGCTGATAAGTTTGCTGTAGTTTTTTCTCTGCCTCGACCGTAGTTCTTTGTTTAAAAGTTGCTCATATCGTAACTTTGAAATTTGTAAAATATTTTGTGATAAGGATACACATTGGTTGAGAATCCTCTGTAACAGGGATGTAACTTCTAGCTCAATTTTTGGTCGGAAAAGTGTTGAAAGAGACATCATCGTACAAAATAATTTCAGAGAATCTAAATTGTGGGTTGGTAGCTCATTCCTGAAAGAATTCAATATTTCAAAAAGTCTATAAATAAGATAATATATGTAAATAGGTTCTCATTTCATTGAATCACAGGATGTGTCATACTGTTATACCTGCATCTTATTTTAAACACATTTACTGTTAAAACATCTGACAGTGTAAATAGGTAAAACAACATAATTACTATATTGTAATTATTTAGTGATGTATATAATTCATAGAATCCAGTGATATATGCCCAATTAAAGGGTGTTTCATGGAATGCAATGAAAGACTTCAAGGTGAAAACCAATTACATCATAACAACTGTATACTGTATATTTTGTTCAGAGCAAAATAAATAGTAAAAGCCTATGTAGTAATTATACCTATTTAGACAGCTTCTAATGGCAAAATTGTTGCAGATATTTTCGGCAACATTTGATAACATTGTGGTAAGTTTGCTATCTGCTCCAGGTTCATATTCAAGTTGGCCAGGTTTGGGTAGTGGAATGTTCTCCCATTGCTCCAAGGATGTAAACAGCTCATCTAGGCTTCTTCTTAATATAGACTTCGGATGATATATTGATTTGTAACCTTTACTGCTACTTTCCAATGCTTCCAAAAATAGATTCTGAAATATAATAACAGATGATAGTGAATGAATCATAATTGCTATTTTTTTCTTTCAGATATAATGATTAAGCCATTGGTCCCATGTGCAATACATCCCATATGCATGTTAAAGAACATAATGCACACTTCGGATATTAGGGAATTGTCTTCCAGTATATTGCCTAATTTCCCACTGGAAATATGGACATTTGTGTACCTTTAAGGACCCTATGGCTATGACCTTTGACCCTGAACTTTTGAACTTTCACCACATTTTGAAAATATGTTAAGTCAAATTCTCTGGATATCAAAGTGCATGCAAAACCTGGTCTGGCTACTAGGGTACAAGAAATCCAGCCCACATTTTATGGGTGGTCGAGCATTTCCCCGACAGGTGGTCCATCGTACCCCGACAGATGGGCCATGCCCACATTAGCCATACCATGGATGGCACTCAGTCCCATTTAACCTCTACATGTCTGACAATGGCACTATCTGATGCACTGTCCCTGGCTTAGAAAACATTTCTAATTAATTTTTCCCAACAGATTTTACTATGATTCTCCGACGATTGGGCCCATCCACTGGCACCAACCCTGTTACATTTCTGATGTCCGGAAATATGTCCGACTGTAAAAATAAAGGTTTCTTCCACAAGAAGCGATCCAGGGTTCCCAACAAGAGGTCCTGTGACCCTTGCATCACTGACACTGCCACTAAGCAATAATTATTTCATAATAGTTATATAGTGGGTGCATATTATAATTTAAAAAATCCTAATAAATTAATCTATACATTTATGTCATTTAATATACAATATATCTGTATATACCAAAATAGTAATGGAAAGTTGTTACATGATTGATAAGTATTATGTTACTTGGGTTGAATTACAAAATATTGCATCATATAAAAAAATGCCCAATATAATCAAACAATTTTGTCTTCTAGTACACTCATTTAAACAATACATTCCTATTAGGCACAAATTCACAAATGTAAGCTAAATTATGAAAACACTATGAAATTCCAAGAGCCAAAAAAAAAATGTCTATGAATATCACAGAAAAAAATTAATGCTTTTTTAAAAACAAATTAATTCTTTAAAAATTATGATTAATGAAATGAATTACTTTTTAATGCTTTACTTTTCCTTATACAGAATATATTCAAAATGATGCAATCAGAAATATGAAGAAATTAATAAAAATGATGGCATATGCAAACATATATCATTGAGATTTGAATAATATGAATTAATAACATTTTTATATGTCAAGCACCTTCCTCAATGACCCTTTTGAATAATACATTGACATTGAAGCACTTTTTTCAAAGCTATAAATAGTTCTTTTTAAGTGCAATCAGAAAATGAAAGTAATTTATTTAAGGTTTAATGAATAATGGATTACATAATTCTAGGAATTAATTAACTATTGGTGTATTTTTTAACTTTCCAATCATAAAAAATATACAAATAAATCAAATAATACAAATTTTAATTTAAAAATTTTGAAATAAAATTCAGAAAAAGTAGAAAGTATATTTTAGATAAGCATTAGCACAATCCCATTCCTGAACGCCCTTAAGTTAAGCACCTCTTATGAAGCGAAAACAGGAAGCAAAGTTACTGCAATAGCATTAGTGCTATTTTAAGTTATATAAATAATTAACATTTTCCAAAAATGTGTAACTACACACTGGTAAATTGAATGGTATGAAACCATATCACTAGATTGAATGGTAGAAAACCACACCCCATAGACTGCATGGTACTAATCCCATATCCCTAGAGTGCATGGTATTAATCCACACCCCTGGAGTGCATGGTATTGAAACCACATCCCTAGAGTGCATGGCATGAAACACACACACACACCCCCCACCTCCCACCTCCCACCTCCCTTAGAGTGCATGGTATGAAACCACAACCCCACAGTGTATGGTACAAAACCATCCCCTAGAATGTATGGTACAAAACCATACCCCCACAATACATAGTATTAATCTGCCCACACCCCTAGAGTGCTTGGTATGAAACCACATCGCCAGAGTGCATCATACGAAACCACATCCCCAGAGTACATGGTATTAATCCCACATCCCTAGGGTGCATGGTATGAAACCAGGGCTCATAGAGTGCATGGTATGAAACCTCACCCCCAGTGTACATAATATGAAATATCAGAAAAAATCATTTCAAATACTGAACAACAAATGGTATAGTTTTATTACATGGTATAATAAAATGGTTCAATTTTAAACACTTACTGTTTTTGGATCTGTGGACTTCCTGTCTGTGAACAGGCAGGCCCATGACAAACAAACAAAAAGGACAAAGTCTGTGACATCCTTAGCAACATCAAAGAAGTTGATCTCACCATGACTAAGGTGGTTGCGTAGTCTGGGTCCATCTTGGTGAACCAAAAGATCCATCAACATCTCCTGTAGGACAAAATAGCAGACAATAAATGAATTACAGTATTAAAACGTATATGCATGTATAATACTGTTGAAATAAATTATTTAGAAAGATATTTATTTTAATGTATATAATATCATATTATGATAGTTATATCTTAAAGAGAAGACTCTCCTCCAAACAAATAGAAAGAAAAACTTAATAACATATAATGCAAAAATTAATAATAATAATTTAATAATAATGCATTAGGTTGGAAATCCAGGGCAGCCGCAGTGCAGGACCACCTGACTTTAACTACAACATATGACAGGCACATACAGAAACAAACATTGTGCGTAACCTGCCTAACTGTCAATATGAGGGTTATTCAATCAGACTTCAGTTAAAACACAACATTAGCCGAGTTTGAACCAGGGTCTTCAGGACAAGAAGCATGGAACAAAACCAATCAAGGTTGCTGGAGGTAATATTCTTCAGAAAAACTTTGAAACATTAGAAATAAGTAAATATAGCAATATAACCATGATTAACATTTTGATTGAATCACCAATTCATATGACTACAGTATAACAATTTCCTAAAATAGGATGAAAAAGAAAGTTAAAACTTGGTGGTGTCTCATTTTACTCACCGTGTATGGTGCTCCAACTTGGGCCATCAAAGCATTTTCCTTTTCTTCTGATAATCCTAAACATAACATCTGTATAGACAAAGACCATGATATTAATGTGAATACATACTGTACATAATATATGTACAGTATTTGTGAGATATCCTAATGTTAGTATTATGATATATTATTTATTAATCTATTTATCTCCGTACTATATAATTACAAATGGTACATAAAAAGCATTGTATTTGTAGATAGGTCCCATATTCAATACAAGATTTTAATAAACAAATCATTCAATGGAAGGTCTCCAGATTACTTCTCTTAAATGATAACATCATATATTTCAACATGCACTAATAAGATTCAAAGAAATATCAATAGTAGTGCAATTAAATTTTTTTATTTTTATTTATTTCAAATTTATTTCACGAGGGTAGCTCTAACAGCTGCACTACAGTAGTACAGCTGACTTGAAGAGGCCCTCAAAAGAAAAACAATACATAAAAATCTATACAATACATTAAGAATCCAAGTAAGTAAAAGCTTCATTACGGTAAAGTTCAAAAACAATATAATAAATAAAATATTGAATAAACATTGTAACATTCATTAAAAATACAATAAACTTTAAAATTCATTATAAAATTACAAGGTGATGGTTAAAATCAGAATTTTATTGCTTTTCTCTGAGATATAAGTTTATATTGCAATAACAATAATATGTTATATATTAAAAATATTAATGACATTAACGATAACAGGGGAGCGACAACGAACAACCATAATTAAAATATAGTATATGTTAGCATAAAAAGGTATACAGTAATAATATGATGATGATAATACCTTATTTAATATATTCAATTTAATAATACCCACCTCATCAAATGTCGTGAAAAGAACTGAAGTCTAAAATAAAGAATAAATGTATTTAATGAAATAACATAATCAAATGTTGAAACCAAGCAAAGTGTTTTACTTCAAGTATTCTAAACTTATGCTCTAAAATATAATTTTGTGTAAAAATATTAATATATAACAAATATACACTTTATCATATTTACTTTATTTCTTATTAATACTAAAGGTCTTGCATTTTGTGTTTAAACATGACAAACATATCTTAGCTGTTAAAGATGTTGAGGGCAGTCATCACTTCTGACAAATCACATGATGATACAATGTAAAAAAATATGGTGTTGAACCCAAGATCTTTCTATTATCCTTCAGATGCTTTACAAACTCGAAGAGGTTCCCACTTTTTGTATTGGACTTTTGGCCCATGGTTTTCTCTTTGACATTATATTTGTGTCAAAATTTTAATAATTAAATAAGTAAATAAACTGAGCCAAAAACCCAAGCTGCTATTAACATCTTCGATTTTCCAATTAGGACACATGTTAAATATATAAATCGCATGATACTCAACACCCTTTAAATTATCAAAATCGTATTATTTCTTATTATCCATATCATGGATATGGTTCGACTCACATCTACAGCAATGTGTATTTAGAAGTGTTGAAATGTATACACATCTAGATGTGTATAAGAGACAGGCGTAAAGGAGGGGCGCTATTGCAAAATAAGGCGATTATAGGTGATTTTTAACTACTTGACTGTGATTTTTTGTGACTGGGGGATGCGAGTACATTTTTTTGGGAGGGGCATGCACTCCCCGCGCCCCTTAGAAGTGGTTGGCGCATCGGTTGTGTCTTGGACTCCCAACCTTGAGGGCGGGGGTTCAAATCTCTCGCTGTGCAAGTCGCTTGTGTCCTTGGGCAAGGTTTATCTACGGTTGTCATCTCCACCCAGGAGTACAAGTGGAAACCTGGTAGGCTCAAACACAGCCTGCGCTGAATACAGCTGCAACATTATGGAATTCCCCATGGGGCTTGAGTGTGTGTTCCATATGTGCTTGATCCGGTGATCCAGGGGTAATAATGTAAGCGCATAGAGGTCCCTACAATATGGGCTATATAAGTCAACAATTATTAATATTAGATACGTTACTGATCTACAGTAGTATGTATCACTATTCTCTCATAAATAAGATTGCCGGAGTTCAGTCTCCACACTGATGATGGCAGTAGACCATGCGGAAATATGCTTGTTTCGTTGGGCCTATCAATAACTATGGCAAATTAAAAATCAGCATAAGCACGAAATGAGCATCATTTATTTTCATGTATCAGTAGTTTGCTACATCATTGATCTTTTGGTTAATATACATATTTGTTGTAATATTATTAATTGTACTTTGCTGATGTTATTATTTTTATTATTATTACTATATTTATTATTATCACTATTATTATTGTTGCTACTACTAGTTTTATTTTTTTTTTTCCTGATGTGCTTCTTTCTTCAAATTTACGTTAGATTAAGAAAAGGTGTTTTTTGAGTAAATTTTATACTTATTTCCTTCATTCCATTCTATCATTGATCTTTATATACTTTAATCTATTTCGGTTCCTCTTTTCTTACAAACCCAATTGAGTTTGTTGAGGGTTCCTTTTCGCCTTTTCTACATTTTACTGTACTTCCTTATGTCATTTTTTATTTGATGAATAAAGATTTTTGTATTTGTGTTTGTATTTTGTATTAATACTATAGCTTTTATATGGAGAACTACCACTACCAGTGATAAAACACAAACCCAAGATTTTCCAATAACTGTTCCGATGCACTACCAACTGAGCTTTCAAGCCAAGCTGGTTTACTTCATTGGATGCTCCCATTAGGACACATTTTTTAAGGTAATGCACAATACATGATAGTAACTTTACTACAGAGAAATACATCCACTTATGACATAAAGATGGAAAAACATTTTTGGGATATGAAACATCAGATATACAAATTATGATTTGGATGCCCTACAACTAAGCTATGTGGCCAAGCTACTATAAGTGGTGGTAGTCTCAATAATAATCCCTTGGATTTTCCCCTTAGGACATGATTCTATTTAAAAGGTATCGCATAATTTACTATGAACATTTACATACATCACATGAGAGTAACATTAGTATGGAGACCAACTACAGCAGTGATAAAGATAAGCATTACAAACTAAGACAGTTTTAACACCTATCTCAAGTTGCGGGACATGCTTACCTCAGCTGTTACAAGTCTTTGAGGACAGTCATTAACTCTGACAAACACTCTTCTAACACCTAACTCAAGTTGAGGGAGCAATAACATCACACACAATCCACATCTAATAAAAAAAAAAACAAAAAAAAATCATTGACTTTATCATTACTATTATTATTCCTGCGCTGTTTTTATAATTTGGAATTTACAAATAAAATTTAATTTGCAAATGTAGTATTCAAAAGTAAATTATGGGCATGTGCACAGATGTTGTATTGGTGCGCATTAGATGTATACCTCCTGAGATAGTGTAAAAAGGCAATGGCAGCTGGTTCTGAAATCTCCTGCAAATTGGCACATTCTCCTGCAAATTGGCACATTCTCCTGCAAATTGGCACGTTCTCCTGCGTTCCTATGAGTAATCTAAAGAGCCACATACTAACTCATCTCAGTAAAAATGTTTCTACTACTGTCTCATTATTGTGCAAAAATTAGCTGATCATCTGCATGTGCAAAAAAAACAATGTTTATATGGGCAGATCCAGGGGCTAAATAGGGTGTCTAGCCACAACAAAAAAAACCGCTAGATAAACAATTTTTTTCATTTGGTCCAGCTAAGGGCAACTTCTTTCACATTAGGTCCTATTACTCAATCAATGCTGGAATCATGATTATAATCATCATTTTTTTAAAATATTAACACAGAAAAACTCTGAAATTTGAATAAATATAACACGTTTCAAAAATTTAACATCATTAACAGCCTCTAAGAAACAAAAGATTTCTTGGGGAGGGTTCGCCATCTAGCCTTTAGTTAAACTACACCCCGGGTATTCAACCTTTTTAAGCTGAGGGCCGGCTCCAATTGTCGAGACCAGTGGCGGCCGAAATAAATTGTGTACATTTTCTTTTATAGTGGCGAATTCGAAATAGAAGGGGCCAGTGAACAACTTTCATAGATAGGGGAAAACTACCTCACCACGGTGGTTGAGGTTGACGTGAGCACATTTTTAACATATATACCTCTACATTTCAGGAAATTGCACTTTCAGACTCAAAAATAAGTTTTCAAAGCAGTGATTTCAACAGTATTTAACATGCCCCAAGCCTGCTAATGCCGAAAATGGTTAGAAATCGCATCACATACATCAGCTAATCCATTGTCCCCATTAGTCTACCCCTCCCCATGCCAATACCCTACACCACTAGATACAGTGAGCTACACTCAGAAAAAAACCATTCTTGTTAACATTGCTAGAGAGTAGGGGTGCCTATGTGGTGTTTCTCTAAACAGAGCTTTTTTTAGGCTAGGCCCAGGTAGGCCTAGGCCAGAATTTGAGGAATGCAACAAAACAGATGAAGATGAGACTTACTGTAGGCCTAATTAAATTCAATAGTTGACATGCTTTGTTTTAGATTAAAAAATAATAATGAACAAATCCCTGCGGAAAAGCGTCAAACCGACTGTCAACTTCACATGCTTGGCGTGTGTGTGTGTGGCCGCAGTTGGGCCGGTGTTGTTGTGTTGTACCTTAGCTGCGTATTCGCAGACGAAAACATGGTTGTATGTTTTTAAAAAATGAGTGCGATGTTGAATATAGTATCTGTGAGTAGTACTACGGCTAGCAGACAAGAAAAGGCACGTGCTGATTGACGTTCTAATTGGAGTTCAGGGATTACCCTGTCCTGTGCCACCTTCGTTCGTCTCAGTTGTATTTTTTGTCTTTTACTGTGGTGGTGTCATTGTTGGCAGTTATTTAGTTATTTTTATTCAAGAGTAAAATTAAAACAAATATTTCTTTTATAATGCGTTTGTCTCTATATTGTTACTTGTATCTTGCGTTTTGTAATACGCGCACGAGCAGTGCAGGTTTAATGAGACAATACATGCATTAAATGCCTTGCGCTTTATTGTTTCTTTTGACAGCGTCAAGCGCGCAACGCGTCGCGCGGTATCTTCAATAGAAGGTTACAGCTATTCATGTACCCAGCCGCATTGTTTGCCGTAATTTCACATGTTTGACGATTTCCATGATGAATGTGTATGTCACTGATTCATGTGCACTCATTTATTTATTTGTCCATTTACACACGTTATATTTCAATTAATAATTAAAAGTGAAAAACTTAAAAATACAAAATTTAAAAAAATTATGGACAATATAGAATAACATTAACAAAATGAAAAAAAAGAAGAAAAAAAAAGAAATAAAACATAAATCAGGTTTCGTAAATTTTTAATAATCTTCCTGCCCCGGACCATGCTCTCATAATAAAACACTTGAATGGTCACAATTTCAACTTTAACGTGTCTCATATAATTAAAAAGAGGTAGTTCAGACAGGAATCACATGTCATGTCCATGATACAAATCAATTCAATAAAATTTCAAAATGAAGCATAATCCTTGAATATAAAAAAATCAACTTTTACTCAAGTGATAGCAGAATATAAATTAATTCCATATATCTGTCACAGTAAAATGTAAAACCAACCTTTCATCATAAAAGTATTCCAAAGCTTTCTCCCATATGGTAAGCATATTTCTAGGAATGAAGCTTGTTCTATTTAAGACATCCATCAAAATGTCCTTCTCTATATCTTTAGTAACTGCAAGTATAAAGATTTTTTGTCAATCAAAATAAATGTAGCATTGAATATTATAAAAAATATTTACTTGGTTGAGGAGCATGGTTCAAATCATAACCAGCGGTGATTTGCATGCTGCACTATGTCCCGAGATGAAGTCAAGGGACATAGTACAGCCTAAATATTGTTTTATATACCACTACAATGTGTAGGCATAGGAGGGCATGGCTAAAACTATTAACCAATCACATGCCTGTAGTCGGTTTATAATATTAAATACTGAATAACCCAACCTTTGCTCAAGCACCATCATAATAGTTGATTATTTACGGAAAATATCTAATACCATGTTTGGTATGTTGTTTACTTGATAATTAATGATTATGGAATTGGAGAAGTAAATATAATTAATGATATACATACCTTCAGTAATTTTGCATGTTTGAGAGACATTGGGAAAAGTGAGCCATGGACGATGAGGTAGCTCGGCTGGGTCTACATTACAGGAAAGTAATTCTCCCAAGCTTGCGGTAACAAAGAGCAAAAAGTAAGCATACCTATTTTTGAAGGTAAGGATGAAACAACAAATTCTTAAAATTGTCACAAATTATTGTAAAAATTATTATATTTATTTGAATGTAAACATCCTGAAGTATGCAGGCTTTCTGTACAGCATCAGTCACACACTATAGACTAAAAATTGTAACCAAATTTTTTAACAAGCCCCTTAGGGCTTCATAGGGGTTCCCTTTTGTATCCGGTTTTTCAATTTTTCTTTATTTTACTGTATATGTCTTCTACTGACAAATTGAATTTTTGTATTGTATTTTATTTTACATAATGCACCTTATCTGACTTTCTTGGGATCACTCTGAAAAAAAAACTTGTCTACAGTAATAATAAATCACCCTCATACATATCCAACCTGATTAAACTTCGCTCCACCACTTGTTCTAGAGCATTAACATGAACATCTAGTTCATCTACATTATTCATCCCTTTATGTCGTACAAGAACGTGTGTATTTTGTGCTTTACAAATCCAAATTATTATTATTATTATTACAGTCATCATCGTCTGCCTAGATTGTAACAGACATGTTTAACCAGATTGCGACATTACCCATTCCTCACTACATATAACACACTGCATCTCCCATTCCTCACTACATCTCACACATTGCAATGTTCTACACTACTACTGTAGGAACCACTGGTGGTGGCAACAAGCCAAAATTATGGTTGCCAACGATGAACTTTAGCTAAAAATAGCACAACCGCGCCACCGATGTGCACTGTCGTTTGAACAATTTTGGCGGAGAACAAGTTTCTTGTCAGCAATGTAAACAAACTATTATTTAACTACTATCCTAGTTAAAAACAGTGAAGAATAGCCGATCGTTTGTGATACACAGTGATTCGAAGGTAAGTTTCATGACAGTAAGCGTCTCAATGAGAGGGGGGTTCGAGACCATCCCTGTACAAGTCGCTTGTGTCCTTGGACAGGACACTTTATATAATTAATAAATAATTATAATACAGTAATTAATTAAATAATTAATTGTAATTGTGTAGTTTTATATAGCACCACATCATCTAACATAAGATGCTCAGGATGCTTGATATGTGGATTAGGAACTCGATCAATGACTTCCCTCTCCCCTTCGTGCCTATGCTCTACCCGTTAACCCAGTACTAGCAACTCTCGTCATCCACCACAGGCGCTGTCTGTTCCAGTACACCGGTGTATCCCCCCACTCGTCTTGAAGGATGTATTGGGTTCTTTATAGTGCACGCAAGCCATTGTATATACTTTATAGTCCTTATCCGTGAAGACCACCAGAACCACAGGCAAGTGTGCTGTTCGAACCAGCGCCGATATTATGGCTGTAGCTTGCAGCACCCCTGCTAACCGCTTGGCCATTTGATTCGCCCAAATGCGTTTCTCTTCCCCCACACCCTAGGAGTGTACGTGGGAAACTGGTAGAATCTAGTACCAAGAACTAATTCTAGCGACTTACGGAATTGTGCTCCCAAAGAAGCTGAGGATGTGTCCCATAGGTGTTTGGTCCAGTCACTGGGGGTAAAGCGCTGTAAAGCGCATAGAGCCAGATAATGTACTAGAATTACTTTAAATGAGTATAATATGGTAATATACAGTATGCTTAATTACAAAGGTGTTAAACCATACAGTAAAAAGCATAACTGAGCCTAAACTGTATGCTTAAACATAGGCTTGATATATCAACTAGCCAAAATAACGTAAATTCAGTCGGACTATACTTCATTATTATCATTGTTACCCTTGTTAATTAAAGGTACAAATGTAGATTGTTATCTAAATAACAAAAGGCTAACATCCTTCTTATCTCAGAAAACTTCATTTTATTTTTAAAATTTTTTAATTAAGTAATCTAAAGTGGTCGTCTTCCTTCTTCCGGTTTTACTAAAGTCATCATAAATCCGATATTTGAAATATAGCGTCAATGGATAAAAACCCTTTTCATTCTTGAAGGATATAAACAAATATAACAGGTAAATAACTTACATGATGTTAAGACTGTGTGTATTTAGTGATATTGGCAAGTTTAAACACTATTTATAACTAGTGCTGTTGCGTCGCTAAAAACTTTTCGTGCTGGTCGCTCTCGATACCCTCTATAGTTTCAATCATGCCAGGCTAATGGCTATATTAGCATTGCTGATGAACATGTGACCACTGAACAGCTAATATATTATTGAGAAGAAAAGACTCAAAGAGTAGATTAGCTCCACTTTAAAGCTACAAAGAGCTGAGTGCATATCAAAAATTAAAAAATGGCTCTATACTTACATGATAGGAATTTCAGCAGGGGCTGCAAATCCATGCCATAATATATTCCTCAAATTGAGACTTGTTGGAGGACCAATCAAGATATGTAGGATATGTATCTATAGATTGAAAGAAAAAGTCATGACAATCTGTTCAGACTGCAAACGACAATCAGCTAACGGCATCATGTCGTCTACCGCTCACAGGAAGCAGAGTTGGATTTGTCGTACGAAGCAGTGAGTGCCCGGCTTCAAGCTACATTTACACAAGACACGATTACGACACAATGACGACACAATACAGATGCGCGCAGTGTTCAAGAATACAAATTACTACTATGTCAATGAGGTTTCGTTATCGTGCCTAGTGTAAATCTAGCCTTAGAGCAGTGGCGGCTCCATGATTTCCCCGACAGGGGGGTCCAAGGTCCCCGGGGGGAGACAATGTCCCCGACGTGGGCGTGGTCAGGAGTCGCTAAAAACCTTTCAAAAGTGGTCTAGGGGATGTATCCCCCGAAAATTTAGGGGTTTCAAAGGCTTATTTGATCAATTTTAGAGTCTATTAATCTGTACAAAATATATACAAATTTTTTAATTTTTTCTCCCCGACAGGGGGAAGGCCCCCTAGCCTCCCCACCCCGTAGCGCCGCCAATGCTTTAGAGTCCCATGAAAAAGTTCTTTACTTTCATTAAAATTTATAACATAGGACAATAGTTTCAAAAATATATGTTGTATTTTAGTGTTTGTTTTATTTTGTACCTATTTGCCATGGCTTGAAATAAACATTTTTTTTTTTTTAATGAAAAACTGATAATGGGTGACCTTCCTGAAAACTTACTGCAGTTGGTCCAAGTATTGTACTGAGCTCAGGTGTTACCAAGAGGTCCTTCAACATTGCTGGGCATGGTCGGTTTTTTGTCAGGTACACCTGAAAAACATTAGGTCACAATATTTCAAATGCTTACTAATTTAGTCTCCAGAACACACACCCTGTGTGGCAAATGTGCGGAGCTAGGCTGAATTTGAAACACTACAGTCATTACTGGTTATGTATCAAATAGCCAGATGTCATGAAAATGGTTTGTATTTCTCAACTGAAAAGCTTAACTAAGAGCTGCAACGTGTGGGGTAATGTTTCGCTATTAAATGTGCACAACCAAAGCTTATAATTACTGTTTGTGGGCAAATTTCAAGATATTAAATTTTTTGTGATGTCACTATATTATAACAACAAGATCCTTCTGGAAACATAGTTGTCATGTGATGTTATTGTTTGCACACATTTTCTATTCACTAGACATTTCCCCAGCTGTTTGGATTTATAACACTGTGGTTGCTACTCAACTAAATAAGCCTACTACATGCCAAAACAAATCACCCTAGTTACTTTGCTTCTGCAATCAATTTGTTGAGAGATTGAAGATTCACTTCAAGAATACAAAATACAATATAAACTACTTTTTAAAATCATAAAACTATCAACTTAAAAATAATGACTGGTTGAGATAAAAACGATATTCAGGACTAAAATTGTTATATTAAAATTACTTACATCACCAAGAGCTCTTTCCAATGCTGCAGTTGATAACAGAAGACTTACATTGGTTGCACTGTTACACTTGGATTGTAACACTTCAAAACATTCAAAGAACACCTACAATATGATGAAATATTACATAGTACACTTATTCATCCAAAGAATATGAAGTTATGTCAAATCATATTACTAAAAAGGTAATAAAACTACAAACACGCCATCCTGTATATTCAAATTAGGTTCAAATTTGAAAAACTGGTAACATTAATAGGTCCCTCCAAACTTTGGTAACTTTGGCATTCTTTTTTTTTAGATTCTAGATTTTCAGTAGCTGTACTAATACATCATGATGGGAATTTTCAAAGTTTGTTAAAGTCAGGCTCCGGAGGAAAAACAATTTTTGATATGTTGTAGAACTGAAAAAGGTTGTTTGATGAAAAACTGAGCAACGTTGAATGAGATACAGATTTTTGAATATTTAAAAACTGGGGGAAAAGGTGTAAAAATGGTCGGTAACGCCCCTTTTTCCCCCAGTTTTTAAATATTCAAAAATCTGTAGCTCGTTCACCGTTCCCCAGTTTCCGTCAAACAACTTTATTCTGTCTTAGAAAAATCAGTTCTGTTCTACATATCAAAACATTTTTTTTTCTCCAGAGTCTGACTTTAATAGTCTCTAAGAATATATTTTCCTTTGCTTTGCACTATGAATGTGATATGTTATGATAATTATTACTTGTTTACCTCCTTTTGTCCAGTCCAATGAAGGTTATCAGAATATTTCTCTTTAAACTCTTCAATGGTGAGTGTTTGCATCCAGTGGCATACAGACACACAGATTGGTTGCAACCTTTCGACATGTTCTGTGTAGCTGCTTGGAAACTCCTCCAAACCTGAACCAGAAAAATATTTAGCATGGAAAATAATAAAAGGATTACAATATCACAATATTTCAATAAACCGTATACAGAGGCAGATCTAGGAATTTGAAATAGAGGGGAATCAGAGAGAATTTTAAATATGGAGGTTGCAGACCACCTCAGCCAACTTTACCGGGTTCCCAGACACCCTTGAAACCCCCTATGGTAACAATATTACTCATATCCACCATTGCAAATTGCCAATTTGATCTCATATTTAGCCATTTCTTTTTCAATCATCAACAAATTACCTTTCAATGTATGTTGCAAGGCCTGCCAATGGATCGTCCCCTGAGGAAGCTGGAGACAGTCTGTTGTCTTTGCATCTTCACATGGGTCTTGTCCAGTTCCACATACCAACTGTTTGACATTCTCTGACAAGAAACTTGCTTCCATCATAACATTTTCTGAAACACTTGTTTGCATAATTATGTTAATGTTACAGTGGGCTTTTGTACTTCAACAGACTTGCAGACAGTCAAAATGTATTATAATATTAAGAATACTCTTTTTTTGTTTATCCAAAATAATAATAAAATGTTCCTGATACTTTTAATATGTATCTTTCTATACTGTACAAGAGAAAAAAAATATATTGACAATCCAACTCAATTAGTTAAAATAAGCAGCAAAATAATTTCATGCAGGAAATATGATTATATATCACCAATCTAAACCATCAGCATAACAATCACCGTTTGACAAAAACTTTCAGAGCAGTTGCTGCAAGCTAAAAACGGTTGGGCTCTCAACCTTGAGATCAGTTATTATTTCAAGTTAATCTTCTGATGACGGTCAAAGTAATTGAGGCAACAAACCAGTGGGTTTTCACAACTCTATTTTAAAAATTTATTGAAAGTGAAGCACAATATAAAATTTAGTTTTTTTATTGTCTACTCACCATGCAAACCTTTAATAACTGATCATCAAATCTTCATAAAGTTATTTTTGTTTTGATAAGTAAATTTATCATAATAAAAAACGTTTCCGTATCCTAGGCAATGGACGTCATTTTATGAATTTAACCTTCCGGAAAAAGTCTTTGTTTCCTAGGCACCATAGAAAAAAACGGATGGAAGGGAAAAGGCACGATGGAACTAAATTTCTGTAATAAGTGACGAAATGGGATTAAATATCAATGTCACCCCCCAGAGCTCTGCTAGTGTTGTTCCAATAAAAGTACACTTCTTAATTCCCATGCCCGACAAGCGTACGATTTACAGAATTTATCAAATAATGCAATATCATTAACAGGTGTTCATGATAAACATTATTGAGACGTAAGACGTACTGAAGTGTCGCACCTGTCTCTTATACACATCTAGATGTGTATAAGAGACAGTTATTATTTTAATTATTTTATTATTATTATTATTATTATTATCACACAGGCTGCTATAGCAGCCTGTGTGAATTTGAATTCAACCCGTTGATCAGGGTCCCAGTTTGACTTGCACATTTTGTTGACAACGCTTGTTCATTGAGTATTTCTATCTGGCTGGTTCGAATGCCAGTCAAGTCGCCTCCCTGTCAAGTCGCCTCTTACAATGTCGCCCCCTACAAAGTCGCCCCTAACCAGGCTGTCTCTTATACACATCTAGATGTGTATAAGAGACAGAGTCGCCCCCTATTAACCAAGTTGCTCTTTTGACTAATACTGATTATTATTAACTACCGTAACCTTCGAACCTTATTTAGAACTTATCTAGGCCTAGTAGAGATCTGGCTAGCTAGGTTGATAATTTGTACAAAGTGTTGAGTGTCAACTTTTTGTTTGTTTCTTGCAGTGCCCAGAAGTGAAAGTCAAGTGTACAGTACATAGTTTTTCTTTTGCTTTTAAATCTTATGTTTGTTGTATGTTTGGCCTCTTGGAAGACCAATCTTTGTAAAAAGACTAAAATGAATTTCAGTAAATAAATAATGCTGTTATTATTATTTTTAGTTATATTTATTTATGGATTATTCATAATAAAGGCCTATGCATGTTGGTACGATATTGATTTAATTTGTTAAATCAAATATACATTTACATTTGAATTTTAAAATATACATGTTGCACTGCTATCGCATGTTTTTGCGCATAAAAATAGTGTTTCTTTTCGTCTTGTTTTATAGTTAGTTTTATGTATTTAATGTTATTAACACTATATTTTACTATATTTCCATTTATTTGTGTATTTTATAAACATGATCAGCAGATAGCAGATGATTCAAAGTTTATGGTTACATGTATGATGTAGGTGAACACCTGTGATAGGCCTACTTTCTCTGTTTGCACCTAAAAATAGCTAGTCGTCTATATTTAACACCTGACCTACTTCTGTCTTTGCGGTAATGCGCCCACATTCCTGAAGGCAGCGTACAAAGAATGTGTTTGCTTACCCTATTCAAGAGTACCATGACCTTGTTTGGTTGTGGGAATGTTTCTTTCGATTTTTGTTTATTGTTAGTTACCAGGCAACTACAGGTAATAGGCCTCAAAGTAGTAAATTTTTCAAGCTTTAAAAAGAAGCCCGACCATGAAATGGCCACCAACATGCATGTATATGCATTTATATATTTAAAACTATAATTTTATTATATTTCCATTTATTGGTGTATTTTATAAACATCAGAATATGTACAGTATCAAAAATGAAAATAAAACAAACGAGACAATGCAAACCTTGTGTCTGCTTCACCTCAAGAGTACCGTAGGAAGATTTGTGAGAACGTTTCTTTATACAAATTATGCTCTAATTTCAATATGCAAATATAGAAACAGGCCTAGCAAGTTGAGTGATTTTGTTGGGCTTTATGATCATAAAAGAAGCCTGAAACGGCCACTTATAAATAAAAATATTGATAATTTTATATGGAAAATATAAATACAGTATGAAATACTCTATATCATTTATTTTCATTCATTACACATCATTCAGTATATTCATTAATTTATATGTATTATTATAAACATGATCAGAACATTTGTGGTAAATGGAAACGTAACAGACAAGAAAACAAAATTATGTAAATCTAATCTATTGACTACTGTACTTAATTCATAAATCTCCATTTAATTTAAGCATTAACAAACATGCTATCAAAATATATATCGCAAGAAACAGAACATATCTCTCAAAACAAGTTGCTGAGATTAGTTTAATCTTTTAGCTACCTTTTTTTCTGCTTTTTTAATGTGTTTTATCTGTGTTTTTAAATTTTGTGGTGCTGTGTCTTGTTCAATTTTTTCTCTTCTGTACATTCTGATAACAATTTTATCTGTATACTGTAAATTGTAAACTTCTCGCAATTCAGTATTTTACTGCCAGTTGAAGTTATTAAAGAAATCTGAATCTGAACAAGTTAACTTAGTAATATTTGCATTGTTTCTGTTAAAAAAAGAAAATAACACCACTGTAAATCCAGTAATAACATCAAACTTTAATATTATATTACAAATAATTGTTAATAAATTAATGGTACTTACAGTAATTTAAGTTTGGAAAAACGCTAGGCCTAGGCCTATATATAATCATGTTAGAAGGTTAAATAATAATAATCAATATTGGTCAGGGGGGGGGGGGCGACTTGACTGGATTCCAGCTGGTTCATTATTAGCAAAAAAGTAATTAATTAGGTATATTTAATTTAGGCCTAGGCCTAGGCCTATTTCTCCAAAAGTAAAACTTTTTACATTTTTCAATTATAGTATTATTCTATTAAGCCAAGGGGCCTTGCTAGGCGTATAGCCTAGGCATTTATATAAGTAAAAATTACCAGCTGTTGCATCATCATACTTCAATGACGAGTTTAGTTCGTCGCGACCCTTCCTGTCTTGTTGCGAATCCTTGTTGCAATGTTTCTTCAGGCTGGCTAGGCCCAGTCCCTATAACTACCCATTTGACTGGAATACTTTAAATAACAGACAATGCTCTCGCCATTACCTTTGTCATGAAGGCCTGCTAAAAATCCAAATAAACCAAATTGCCGTTCAGCTCATTAAAAAGGACTAAAAAAAAAAAGATTCCTACACTTTTATCTTTCGCGCGACGTTGGGCCCATTCATTTCTTTGGGTTGACTTGACCTTGACAAATCTCAACTTTCGACTCTGTAGCACGCGTAGGGCTAGGCCTAGGCCTAGGCCAAGTTAAAGGTAGGGGTGTTCAATAGTGTGTACAGTAACAATACTATGCATCTAAATAATAAGGTACTGCGACACAGGGTGTGTGTACAGTATATATTTTTATAATATATAATTACAAATAAATGATAACAATTACATTTTATTAATATAGATCAAAGTACAAAATGAATATGATTAGGCCTACAGCCTACCTACTAACTGAATCAAAACGCAAATGTAAATTCTGTATAAACGACGGCCCGTTAATAAGGAATAAACTGTAAATACAGCATGGTTTACTATCTCACTCACGTACCGTCGTCAAGGGTCTTTGCCGTCGTTTAAATAGACAAGTATTATTATAAACATGGCAGCCCTCTATGGCATGTGTTTGCGTCGGGGACCCGTCGAAATTATAAATAATTGTATTAAAACTGAACATTTATGTTCAAATATTCTACCTAGAAGATGTCAGAAAAACTTGTATTTCAATGAAATAAAGAAGACTGTATACATTGCTCGGTTTTCCACAGTTGCAGGGCGTGGCCTTCTTCTAGCCAAGCAACCCACCACCAGCCAGAAGGACCACATCCAGCAGCAGGAGCAAAGTGAGGGCCCATTGCCTTCCTCCAGCTCGCCGTCAGATGGGGCTAGTTCCCTGCCTCTTGCAGCGTTGCTAAGAGAAGCTGAAGAAAATCAGAAGAAAAGACAAGAAGATGAAGCAAAGAATAAAGCGAAAGGGAAGAAGGGAATGGGAAAAGCTCAAAAAATAGCTTTTGGATTTTTTGCAGTGGGAAGTATTGGGGCAGCCTTAGTTTCTTTTTATGAAATGGGTAAGATTCCTCTGGTGGTAAGATTTAGAATATAATTACAGTTTTAAGGCATCTTTGTTTGTCAGGGTTTAAAGTAGAAAATTATAGTATAAATACACCGAATCCTTACTGTAATTTTTTTAAATACGCGTTTTCAACGAATTGGTAGACATCTTGAAGTAATGAAAAACAACCCAAACAAACCAACAGAAATATGCTTTGAGGCTAAATTCTTGTCCTCATTTTATCTAAAAATTCATAACTCATTAACGGAGGGTCGTGTCACATTAATTTTTTCTCAAAAATGTTTTCAAAAGACTATTCTACACCACTATATACTGTATGGTTGAAAAATGTTTTTGACCTTTGAAATCAAGATGGAAAAAGAAGATTCAATCGCAATTGTGTATTAAAATAGGCCTATTCAGTAGTATTAGTACTTTCGTATCACTACTGTTCCAGGTACCGATAACATACAGATTCCTCTTATTACAGTAAGTACAAGTAATGTTTTATAAAGAAGTATATAGTAAATCATGTTTTAACACTGGAAAATCTCATATGGTAGCTAAAACAATGCTAGGCTAGAGTACTACTAGTACTATTGTACCGTACTGCATAGGCCTATTTTAATATGCAATTTAAATAGGCTCTTCTTTTTTCATCTTGGTTTCTGCGGTCAAAAATATTTTTTTAAATGTTTTTTTCAATCATATACAGTAGTGGTGTAGAATAGTCTTTTGAGAACATTTTCCAGAAAAAAAAAATGTGATATTATCCTCGGTTTATCGAGTTATAAAATTTTAGATAACACGAGGACAATTATTTAGTCTCAATACTTATCTTATTTCTGTCGGTTACACACCACTGACATGGGTTGTTTGTCATCACTTCAAGATGTCTGTTGTGGAAAAGGTGTATTGCGTGGATGATACCAAAAAACTAGCTCAAATTTGGGCAGGATTTTGCTTGGAAAATTGGTGCGCAGAATTACTACAGTATATTAAGATTAGGTCAAAGACTAATTTTCGCCAAAATATGCACGGAAAACAGCCCTTCTTTTCCATACCTGTCAACCTTGAGAAATTTCAAAGAGTAAAATTGGGTGACACATAATAACAGTGGCTGGGGCGAGGGGGCCGCCAAGGGCTCCCTGTCAGGGTCCAGGGGTCGAAGGCCCATGTACGCTTTGGCTTAAATGGCATATCTAATCGATATTAGTGAGTTTATAATGATCTCAGAAACATGGAGGTAGAATGTTATGATGATGGATGTTAGTTATAGTATAATTCATTACAAATTGAAAAAGAAACAAAATTTACTCAAATTTTAGGATAAGCGTAAGTTTTGCCGGTGTTTGCATAAGAGCATAAGATTTGACTGGAATGCATAAGACTTGCCGCGAATGCCTACGGTTTGACAGGTCTGATTTTCCAAAATGCACAGACAATTTCTAGGCCTGATTTTTGTATGGGGGATATATTCTCCACGCAGGCCTTACTTTACAGTCTTGCCTCAAATTACCCTACGTCTGCGTTTATGCACTTGTCAATTGTAGTCCCTGATTAACTGATTGATAGAATTTAATTATTCAATATCAAAACAGAAATTAGGCCTAAATAAGAAAATGAATACATGTAGTAGAAAGAGATTTCCTTGCCTGGTGTATTTTTGATGCAAATTAGGTCAAATTCACTGTTCACAAATTTTCACGCAACACACTCACATGTGCTGCCACCTCGGTCCTCAGCGTTGTGTGGTTGGATTTCAAATTTTATTTATAACGTGATCTATAAAAAATAAAACCATGATGGTAGGCCTAAAGTGCCGGTAGGCAATTTTCTAATTATCAAAACACACAGTAATTGCTGACTGAATGCCTAGGCCTAGTGTAGGCTAGGTAGGACCACACCCGGTTTAACAGCCCTAGGCCTACCTACACACCTGAAACTGCGGCTACTCCAACGTGAAAATTCCCGGCACTTCCGAGGCCTGTTACATCTACGGGTAAATTTTAGGTACGTCCCGGCACTACAGGGATACAACTATGTGTACATCCCCGGCTCAGTCCTGGCGAGTGCCCCGCTATGGTCCGGGGGAGGGGGCCAGGACTACAAAAATTGAGAAGTTTGTACTTTCTCTTTCACTGTAATCCTTAAGAGTTTGATAAATATGCTATAAAGTCTGTAGCTTAGCTGCTATGGAAGTGCTCAGTTGAATCAACCTCAATCAAATTTCCATCATAACGAAGCTGTATCATGTTGTACTGTAACATAGCAAACATAGTACCCAATAAACTGTTTATGTTTCAATTATGATTTTTTATTTATTTTTATGCATTTTAATACCATATTTACATTTTTTTTACTACAGGCCAACCACTGGTTGATGAAAATGGCAATAAAGTAAGTGTGTCACTTACACTAAGAGATTAGGTTGTTAAAGATGACATTATGAATAATATATACATTATTAATTTGGATAAAAAATATGAAAGGCATATGAACATGAGCAGCAGCTATAATAAAATAAAAATAGCATTTTTGAAGATATCTGTATTGATCAGTCTGTAAGCTTTCATGCAAACAGCACATTTTCTTCACACAAAATGAAATGTTTTTCCGAAGTGATGCTTAGAGTATTTCTTAATTACAATTAAAATTCAGTGGGTATCATCATTGTAACTCCCAATTCATTTTTTTAACACAGATTCCAGATGAATATGATGATAGTTTCATATTGTATGCATATTTTATGAGAGGACTTCAAGGTTTCAAAAATTATAGAAAAGTAAGTATTATTGGTTGATATCAGAACTTAAAAGAGAACTAGCAAAATGATTTTTTGTTCTGGAGGGAATTTTGATATGCCATTAATAATAGAATCAACCTTAAAATCGTTTTTTGGCAATTTTTTATGAAGTTATAGGCCATTATATACGATTTAATCGTGACGTCACTGGCATATCAAAAATCACCTTTAGAACAAAAAATCATTTTGCTAGTTCTCTTTTAAACAATAATCTTATTTTGATGTTTTGTTGAACCTGTGTTACAGGCCTGTAACCAGAAATGGCTTATAATAATAAGCTTTATTTTAACATGGAAAATCTTGTTTTAACTGAAGTTGCTGTTCTACAGTACAACTCCATGTAAGAAAGAACCAAATAATTAACAAGTTAAAATTAACAAAAAGAAAACCATGAGAAGTACAACACAATAAGTTTCTATGTTTTGATCCCCTTATTATTGATTAACTAAATCTCCCCTTTCATTCATCAAAAACCATCAAATTGATAATGCAAAGATTAATAAATGTTTTAATTTACCTGTACACATTTTCGTATCAATATATTCTGTTTGTAGATGATTGTTGAACCATCAGCAGAGAAATTACTTCCAGATCCATTAACAGAACCTTACTACCAACCACCTTACACACTTGTCTTGGAAATGACAAATGTTCTTGTTCATCCTGAGTGGACGGTAAACATTTTGGAATTATTTTATTCAAATCACAGCAATGTATTCCTTCTGAATTTTTCTTTTTGTTCTTTGGGTTTCTTTTATGTACTGTAGTTGTGATGGCATATATGCTGGAAAACAATTGAGTACTCTACCATCTGATAGTATACATAGGCCTTAATACACACAGAGCCACTACTTTGAACCTCTCCTGCAAAAGATGCATACACAACTAGTATTTATTTAGCCAACATGTGTTACTCTCACTGCAGTGGTGACTCCAATAAGTCCAACAGGGGAAGCCGTTCCAAGGCAAAACAACATAACTTAACAAAAAAGAAATAATAGTTACATTGTTCTGACACAGGACTTGGTCATGGTTTTGGAATAAATCCCTGGTGGGGTACATGAGGAGAGATTTTATGGTTCAGGATGGCCCAAAATTGTGCCTTTAAGACCGTAATATTAGGGATTAAAAATGTTTTGTCATGGTGTCGGGCAATGCAGGGGTCCATGCTTGTCTGATGGGAGGGCAGTTTCCCTGACTGCCCACTGGTAATGCCACTGTCATACTGGTCATTTGTAAGATATACAGTATTTTCATATACTGTGTGTAATGCAAGTCTGCTATGTGAACATTACTTTAAGTGTAAATATGCTAATTTTGTTTGTTTATTTTTGTTTTGCTTAGTACTCAACTGGTTGGAGATTCAAAAAAAGACCAGGTGTTGACTACTTTCTACAACAGATCGGTCCACCGCTCTTTGAAGTTGTCATATACACAAGAGAAATGGCATTTGTGAGTTGAAATTTTGTTGCATGTTAAAGAACTTTGTGCATCATATTTATGTCTGTAATTGCTAGCTGTATTCACATTAATTACAGTGCAAAGGAAAATTTCACCTAATATATAAATGTATTCATTTCAGACTGCTTACCCGTTGCTTGATTCCTTAGATCCTCAGGGGTACATTATGTATAGGCTTTTCAGAGATGCAACTAAATATGCAAATGGAACACATATAAAGGTAAGATTAAGCCCATAAATATTAACACAATGAAAGGAGATTGTAGCCATATAGTTTTAATAAATATATATTTAAAATAAATTTATACTCATCTGATTGCAGTAGATAGTTGTCAGTTTCTAATCCACCGAATCTAGGAATTGTTTACATTTTCCTTCAAATGGCGAGATTAAAGCAAATTTTGTTCTATTTAAAATTTATTCCTTGATTTATTATTTATTTACAGTATTACTATAGGCCAGTAATATGTAAACATTGCTTGGCACATACATAGAAACGAAAAATAGTATCGTCGCAATGTAAATGTGGTATGTGGCACTCGGTCATCAAATACACCATGTTAGTTTATAAAATAAGATAGGAAAGTGGTATTGATTATGTAATAATTGATATTATGTGTTTACTTTTATTTATTAGTTATGCTATAAAACATACAATGTGATAGAATTAAGGTTAAAAATGCATGCATTCATTAAAATGTTTCATTGATTGTGTCCCAAGATATTTTGGTATGAATAAGTGAAAGTTTACCTTGCACTGCCTATTGCACTCTCCATTGGTATTCTTGGTTGTTAGAGCTGTTTGTGTTTATAATATTTTTTAAAAATCAATGAAAATGAGGACCAAACATGATGTGATTTGCTGTGTCAGTCCATAGAAAAAAGCTAGGCCTAGGAAATAAACAGTATAAAGTGCCAGGGTTAAAACGATAAAATAAACCAAAAAAAAAATAAATAAACCAAAAAAAAAAAAAAAATGAAGATGGTTTCACATGTGCTCATAGTGTTGTAACAAAGCTACTCACAATTCAATTTATTTGTTTTTCCCACCAAGGATTTGTCATGTTTGAATAGAGACTTGTCGAAAGTGATCATGATTGACTGCAATGCAGATGCGTTTCAAATACAACCCCGTAATGGTGTTGCTTTGAAGAAATGGGAGGGTGATGACAGTGATCGTACTCTGTTTGACCTTGCTGTGTTCCTAAGAAGTAAGAACATACTGCCAACACAAATTTAATTTGAATCAAAATTACATTACCTTGTCTCAAAAAAAAATATACTCGAAAACATATGACAATGGACTATTGAACTATGCTTTTGATTGTCTTTTTCAACCACCATATAAATTTGTATGGTTTTATCTGCACATATATAGCAATAGATCAGAGCGCTTTAGAGTCTTTATGAACATTTATCAGCCAATTTAAGGGTATAAGCCAGGGGTGGGCAAAAAAAATCGACCGGAGAGCCAAAGTGAATTTTTGATGTAACACCAAGGGCCGCATCCAAATTTTGATCATTCCAGTGTGCTTCCAAAAACTTTCATGAACTGCTTTTATTCCACTTTATTCTCAGTTTTAATATTATTTTTTATAGATGATTGTTGTTCGGGCCGTAAAAACAAGGTGTATTCTAGCCAAAGAAAGTTGGCGGGCCACATACATAGGGTTTTTAATTCGTTTTCGCAGACTGCAAATTAAAAATCACTGTCAGGCTACATGTAGCCTGCGGGCCTTCACCTTGCCCACTTGTGGTATATGCAAACACTACTGTATATAAAATGCCATAGTTATTTAATCTGTTAACCAGAAAACATTTTTTTGTTCAGATTTTTAATTAAAATCTAGAAATAAAAGCACTACGACCATTATGGATTATATTAAAATCTTATAAAAATACAAATGTCTAGTCAATTGAAACTATATTGCTAAAATACAAAATGAAAATTGTAATACAATTTTAATTTTTTGGAAAGCTACCGTAAAACCTCGAATTTAAGCCCTGGGCTTTGTTTTTTTGCAAACTTTGTATGGGCTGCTTTTCGAGGCTACTTTTGCAAAATGAATGCTGTAAATTTTGGGAATTACTACTATAAAACAATAAATAGGACCACTGTAACATCAATCTGTAGCCAATCACATGCCATTGGTTCCAATGGTGGAACAAGTCTTCTCGGATAAAGACTTTTAGTATATTTCGAGAAGAGTAGGAGGTTATCCCGGTGTACTGGTCCATTAAGTCCCCTGTTGTTTAATTGATATGCCACGTAGGACAGTGATTAAGTTTTACTTATTGGCATATCCTTGGCGCTCGTACCTAAACAAATGAAATGAAAAATAAAATGTTTCATGGGCTTCAATTTGAGGTTTTATGGTATATCAACAAGTAGAGTTATAGATGCAAGACCTTTTTTTAGATTTCTACAATAAAGAAGACACTTGAAACATGAAAATTGTGCCTTTCTTTTCTCACTTTTCTCATTTTATATTTTTTAAGTATTTTAAATACAGATCAATAACGTTTTCCTTTGACACTCTGATTGTTAAGCTCGTTAATAATGGTGATTTTGAATAAAAAATAAGTTTTATTTTGTAACAGTTAGCCCAACTTTTGCCACAAAAAATAGAGATTTCAGAAAAAAAATATTCTTTTATTTATTTTTATTATTATTATGCCCTCCACTTCCCTCAATTCTCCAAAAATAAGATATATATATTTCTTAATTATATAAACTTAAAGCATTTATCAATCTCATTACTGCTACACTGTTTACATTCATCAATAAAATTTTATTTTCTGCTCTGCGTAGATGATTTTGGCAAAATCATTTTGGTAAAGAAAACCGAATTTTATTTTTATTTTTTTATTGTCGTCATAAAATCTGTATTGTAATCTTCCTTTCACAGCTATAGCATCTAGTGGAGTTGAAGATGTAAGACCTGTTCTAGATTTTTACAATAAAGAAGATGACCCACTTGAAACATTTAGAAGGAACCAAGCAAGGTTACAGGTGAGTTTAATTAATCTCACTTCACTACAGTGGCAGCACCAGCGGGGGGACGGGGGACTCCCCCACCGGACAGGTCAATGTGTGATGTATTTACATAAATATGATTCAATTTCCATCTATTATAATTTTTGCGCCGGCTATTTAGAAGGCCGGAGTTAAAAATAAAATAGTGGCCTGAAACCTAGGCTCATCATGGGCTGGTCCTAGCCCTAAGAACCAATACTTTACTTTTTAAATACAGGATCTAATGTCATAAAACATGATATTTCTTGAGCAAGCAAGTACTTGTTAAAATAAGAATTTCTATTCTATCAAAAGCCATTATTGAACAACACATGATCGCGACAACAGCAAATCAACCTAAATGGGGAATCCCCGAATTGGTTCGCACGTATTCTTGTAAACAAGTTCGACTCAAAATTGAACCACGAAGCAGGATTGGTTTGATTTTCGTTATATATTTTGCTGGTTTATTAATAAACATAATTTATCTTGGTACAGTAGTATGTGTTTCAATCATTTAATAAATTTATTATTCATTGTGTTTTTTTTTTGCTTTTCAAAATATAAGTGATGAGGTGGAAATATTTGTGTTCTTTTCACTCTACTCGCATCATATTTGAATGACCACACTTGATTGAAGAAGACGACATGCATGCGGTACTGTGTATGAAGCCTACGGCAAAAACATGGAGAAATTCCCTTCTGAATCTAGCATTTACCACGAAAATTAAAACATCATTCTTCTAGGCCTAAGCTTATATTTTGTACGATACTAAATCATCACAACAAAGTAAATAAAATTTTAATTTCATTCAAACACATTGTCACAAACAACGTCCAACCAAAGAACACTGTTGAATCGGGTCTAGCCCCGATCGAGCGTCGGCAAAGAACATCTGAACAAGACCACTTTGTAGAAAATATGTGATCGGCCGTACGAAGTATGCTATGAAGCAAGAAGTAAAGAGCCTCGACCGTTGTAATATAGCATAGAATATGCGTGTATATTTTGTAAGATATTGTATTTAATCATCACAAATATTAAGTCAAAAAAATTTCTGGCCGAGCGTTGAACCCCGATCGAGTGAGGAAAATCGAGAAAGACCACATGATCAACCCTACAAAATATGCTAGGAAGCAAGAAGTAAACAACCCGCGTCCATCATAATGGCATGTAATATGCGTGTATTTCTTGTAAGATATTTAATCATCACGAATAAAGTAAGTCAACCAAATAGTTTTTTTTATTACACATTTTCCTATGTCATCACTAACAATAAACAACATTGACAGTTGATTTGAGAGAAAGGCCATGCTGTATGTACGAGCCACTCTACAAAGTACGCATTCGCATCCTTGCTCATACGTACGGTGGTCATGACGCGAGAAAACTAAAAATAATGCAAATGGACCAACTCCGCCGCATGATCTTTTTTTGAAAAAATAACATTGATTTAATAATCTATTTAATGATTGAAATATATACATACTGTATCAAGTTATACGTTTAATAAAAACAATTTTTTTTTTTTTCAAACCTCCGTGGTTCAAACTCCATGGACGTGGTTCAAGTACATTCGTGTGAACAAATTTGGGGATTCCCTGCGTCGATTCGCTCGTGCATTGTTTAGTAACAAATTTTAAACAAGTAGAAATTACTTTGTTTTTACAAATATATGTTTGCTTAATGTATTTTAACATGACTAAACAATTAAAAGCTTGGAGAAAATATGATTTTCGTTCACCGTTAATTTATGCTACATTCCAAGCTTACCTTGACAACAAAAGGGCCTCTGCAAATTAGTGCCGTCGTTATCTTCAGGCACCTCGGCAAATTGAAGAATGCCGACACTAATTTCGAGGACTGTAGCAATGTAGAATATTGTTCCAAGTACAATATTTAGATAATAAGAACGTGTATTCAATTAGGTTTTTTTTTATATGCAAGAAGACTATATTTTTATTTTTTCTAGCTTATAAATAGATAAAAACAAATTATATAAAAGTTAGCCCTGACGACGGACAGTGGTCTGTTGCAGAAAGCTGGGCATTTATCTCACTGGCTGTTTTACTTTTACGTTTAAATTTTAGCTTTTGATTACCAATTTTGTATCTCATTGTTTTTTCAGTATTTTGCCTTTTGGATTATAAATATAAGTTGTTATAATTTATTTATTTTTTGTATATTTGCAAAGGTAATTAAAAATACCTGCATGAAGAAAAGGCACAGTATTAGCTGTTATGTAGATGAAAGTAAGGAAACTAGTTAGATAGAATTAGATTGCTGAACTGCAATTGAATGTAAAAAGTTTAAAAAGAAACGCTGTGAAAGAAAATGCATAATTACAGTGCAAACATTGTATGATGTGCTATCAATTTATGTATCGTTATTTAAAATTAAATTAACCACAAAAGTGTTTGACTGTTAGATTTTCATTTCAAAATAGTGTTAATACATTCTAAAATCAAACATTGCAACACAATTCAAAACTTTTAAATGGCATCTTACAGTAATTATTTTTCATTTTTTTCTTAGGTAGGGAGGGGGCCACCCCATCCCAAACCCACCACCGCTCAGGCAACAAAATTCAAAAGTTAAAATATTTAAAATAGTTTTAAATGCCAATTCAAACACTGTTAAATGGCATCTTACAGTAATTGATGATTCGCATCTAGTGCAGATCACCTCTTGTTATTGTCAGAGATCTTCTTACTTCATCATCACCATCATCATCATCTTTTTTTTTTTTCTACCTTACCTTCCATTTTTGTGCGTACGATATCTCAAATTTGCCACGAGTTACGCACATGCACGCTTCAACGAACATTTGGCTTGGCCTGGAATAGTCACAATAAGTTTTTCAATGTGCTCAGTCATGCGTGACATTATCTATGCGCAATTTTGCATTTTTACATTATCGATCATATCATCTTAACCAATTGGCATTTCTCATTTATATTTAGTAGGTATAAACTTTAGGTCAAGGTGGAATACCAGGTACTGAAATATTTTGCTTGTGTGTCATGCGTACGTCAAAATGCTCAAAATCACTTTTTGACTAAATCAGAGCACGTTTCAGGCCATTTTGAGCATTTCAAAGTTTTTTACATCTTCCACTATGCGCGCGCATTTTTATGCGCGCAGCACGTACGGAAACAAGAAATTACGTTTTTTTTACATATTTTGGGTTCCTGACATTGTTTTAACAAATAACATAGGGACCTTTGCATGTGTTTGTGCCGATATACCTTGAAAATATGTTAAAATCAGGCCCATTTTTTAATCAGTCATAACGTGCACGTATATGCTTAAAATCATGAATATTTTTATTTAGTTATAGCTCCTTAGGATGAAAGGTGACCCCAATTTTTATTACATATTTTGAAAGCACATGTGTTCTAGATATTATTTTATAGATCATTATGGCTGATCGGACATTGTGACATCATCATATTGCCATCTGAATTCAAAAAACTGAATTTTTATATATGGTCAATATTATTAATGATAAGTCCCTCACCAACAGGTGTTTGTCAATGAGAGTTGATACATATATCTCAGCATACTTTTTTGGGCACACTCCCTGATACACAGCTGTTCAAAGGGTCCATTGTGGAGATTTTTCATCCATCGGTCTTTTACAGGAGCCTCACATGATCAGATTTCAAATTCATAATCTTACCTTGCATTTTAACAAATTGCAAACCTGTCACTTACGAAACAATATAGGTGTATTAGTTTCATGAAAGATGTAGGTAGTTACCTGTGACAAACTGCAAATTGATTTCCTTGTTGACAACATAAAATTCCAATCCTAACAGGTGGCCTTATGGACAGGTGCAAAACCACCAATATTTGTTGCCCAACATCAGATAATTCAAAACTTCACCAAAAGTGGTGTGAATCATAGTGTAGAACAGTTGTATTAAATACTTCCTCTACGTAAACTAGGGCTATGACTGATATTCTCAATTGGCCACCTGTTACTCAACCTGGTGTGTGTGTATATTTGCCCACTTCCTTGACTGTGATAAGTAAAACCTGTATTGCAACTTTCAGGTACAAGTAAGTGATGAGCACAGGTGTAATCGCAGTTTGCCTTGTTGACCTTCTCTGAAATATCATTGGTGAAAATTTAGGTGAAAAGATGTTTTGTTCCAATTACTGTATCAAGAATAAATATAGTACTCTGAATCATATGACAAAAAAGGATTTGTATTTGGTAGAAGCAGCAGTCAGAAATATATGTTTAGCAAATATTATAAAATTAAAGAATTTCAATAAAGATATTTGTTTAGAGTTGTGGTATTTCAGAGATGGCTGGGTGGGTGGGTAGATGGATTATTTATTGGGTGTGTAGATGGACTACTGGGTTAGGTGGATTGAAAATAAATGCATATTATACTGTTTTAGATTACGTATTTGTCATTATTTAATTTGAGCTCAAACATTGGATCTGGTTTCTATTGTATTTGGAACTTATAGCATACTTCTTTTAAGTAAATCAAGAAATATATACTGTTTCTTGTGTTGTTGTTGTGTACATTTGACAATAAATTTAATCTCTGTTCTGTTTTTCATTTAATTTGAATAGTAAATATATGAATGAATGGATGTTTTGTTTAATAACAATTAACAGAAATTCATAATTAACAGAAATTCATAATTAGATAGGTTGTTAGTATAAATAATATTAATAAAAATGATAATGCAGTTTCATTGAAATTGATATCTTAATTATTTTTAATTATTTATATAGTCATTTTAAATTCAATGATCTGAATGTTTTTGTTTGTATGTAGGCTTACAGTATTTCTATTTGATGATTGTTGTTTTTAATGTGTTATGGCATCAATCCCCACCAGTTGTCAAAATATTTGATATTGGATACAATGCTTTTTTTTTGTGTTTTTTTTTTTGCAGGAAGAGCAAGAGCAGTTAGCGAGGTTCAATGCAGAGAAAAGATCCAAAGACACATCACAAATAGCTAGCAACTGGCAGAAGGGATTCTTTGGTTCCAGGAGGTAGACATAGCCACTAAAACAAATTGTTGCCAGTACAGTGAGATAATATGATGTTAAGTGGTCACCAATGAAGAATATTACCCCTCCCATGTATTAAAATTCATTTTTGCCATAATTTAATCTTTTTTATCTGAAACCTTTCTGACATTTGAACAGAATCTGTGGATTTGATTCTATTATATTACAAGCTCCTAAATTATATTCACAGTCTTATGTCATGTAACACCATTATTTTTTTATTCAGTTCACCCCAAACAAGGTTGAAAGCCACATCAATGTGATAAGGGGTTACTTTTTTTTTATTAATTATATTTATATGCCATGATATCCTTGCACGTAGGGCATAAACATGCCTTGAACCACTTCCCTGCTTGTCTATAGTGCAAGCTGGGGTATCTAAGCAAGACCGGCTGACGTGTGGTTTGAACTCCTGACTACAAGTACAATGACCAGCATGAAAACCACTGCGCTAAACCGCCTTCCCCAACAAATAATTAAATTATACTTTTCGGAATTTTTCAGTCCATATACATATATAAACTATAACTCCATAATAATGGTTATTAGTCATTCAGTGCCATACTATAAACAAGTATGACAGCAATGGTATATTCTGTATAGGTACAATATCATGACATGTATGCATGGTTAATTTATTAACCAATGCCGTAAGAAATGCAATTACTTTTTTAAAAAATTTAATTTGAAAGAAATTTATTTAACCGCTAAAGCCGGGCACACACTGCGGTGTAAGATAATTGTACGATGTTTGGCTGACAAATCCATATCGACACTTGGCGATGCGATTTGTCTGTTGATTTTCAATGGTAGACTGAGCAGAGTGTCATTTAAACGATTTGTGCACCTGCCTTGTCGCATAGCATTCTCTGGAATTGCGTACCCGATGACCATCGACGCAGGGTATGCCTGGCTTTACTTCAATCTACTGTACTATAGTAATTATGATATAGATCAATTGGTATCATTGTCCACTGTAATGGAATTTGAAATAAAGCTAATTTTAGGTTCTCAATTTCTTTTTATGTGTAGAATATTTGAAGTGATTATTGATAATATTTAAATGAGGACTAAAAAACTAAGCTTTACATCACCCTATATAAAACAAGACTTTACCCCCTTAAACTTTACTTCTTGTACAATACTAATTTTACCATAGGTTTATGTTACTGAAATTGAACGTAAGACAATCTTGCTAACTATTTTTTGGTCTTTACATTATGTTTGCATTATCATTACAAGACATTAGAATTATTTTTTTATCATTAAGTTTTTTAACAAATTTAACATAATAGCTTCCTAACTAATAGTATTGGTGCAGTAACAGTTTGAATAATAATTAATAATTCCATAATGTAAACAAATAATAGTTCCTGTGGATTAAAAATATACTGCCTACATCAAATCAGGACAAACCTGTAAATAAAAGAACCACATAAATTATCAGCTTTCATTAATTCACTGACCAATTATAAAGCAGTTTAAATTATTTACAGACATGACAATCTGTAAATTTGATTAGGAATGGAGTTTCTTTTTATGCAATACAGTTAGAGATATTATCATATGCATAGCTGCAGTTGACCAATTTTAAGTGTTGTAAATAATTGGACATTGGGGGCATGTCCCCAGACCCCTAGGGTAGTGTTGTCTTGATTGGCCCCTCCCCCTTTTCCGACAACTCTGGATCCGCCCCTGAATGAGCAGTGTCGCCACTGTAACAACAAGGTGTTTTCTAGCCATGAATTGTTGGCAGGCCGCGCACACATAGGTTTTTAATATATTTTTAGGGCCGCGACAAAATCACAGATGGCCGCACTTTGCCCAACTATGATGTACTTTATTGTATAGTAGATTTAGCATTTTTTATTGAATGGAATTTAATTATTCATCTTTGTATTGGCAAAATAATCACATTCTAATTTTGCAGTTGGAAGTTTAGTAACCTATTGAAATAGACAGTTATTGAAATAGACAATTTTTTTAAGTTTATATTACGTGGCAGTATACCTTTGCAGAGGTCAAGTCTGTGAGTCACAGGAGTGTCCCAGGAACTGCACTCCTGTTAAGAAAGCAAAAACCTCCCGGAAACTAACCCGTCTCCCGAAAATTGATATGTTTTTACTTCAGTATTATTATCTCCTGGCAGTCATCTGGTGGTGGATACCACCATTCACAGCTAAATAAAGTTATGTGTGTTAAGAAAGGATATTTAACATCTCCTGTAAATCGTTTTTTTCTAACTTGGGGATAATGATAATTATAATGGTAATAATATAAATATTAAAACTGAAGTAACAAGAGCAACTGCTTACCAGTCCGTGCGTTCGTCCACACTTAAATACAATACACTGTGGTGCAAGTTATATTGAGTTTTTTGAAAGAGCTAATAAGATAAAAATTTTTAAATAATTAGAATGTTTATTTGTACAAAAAAAAAATTGAATACCAAGACGCGATTTGAACTCACAACCTTAAGTTCTTTAGAACAAACACATCCTTAACCAACCGCACCATCCATGCGACGTGCCCTATTAGTGGTAATGGCAGTAATGTAGTTCCTTGCTGAAACCCCTGTTTTGTAGAAGTGGTTTGGTGCAGCGGGAACGGTTTGGTTTCCCAACCTCGAGGTCGGGGTTTCAATCCCTCGCTGTGCATTTCGCTTGTGTCCTTGAGTAAGACACTTTATCTGCATTGCTTCTCTCCACCCAGGAGTAAAAATGGGTACCTGGTGGGGTTGCCTCCTGCGTGCGCTGATTACCAGCAGCAACACTTAGCATGTGGACCCAATGACCAGGGAAAGGAACTGCGCTTTATAACCGCAAGGAAGAGGCGCATTATAAATGCCAGTACCAGTGTTGGGGTAACCTGGGTTCCAACTTAAAAAAAAGGGCGATGAATGTTTGTTGGTAATCACCTTTAGCTTATGTGTACAAAACTTCCTGCACGTCCACTCAAAAGTGGTGACGCTGCATGCTTTAAAGGTTTTGGTAACAAGAACAGCGGTGAGGTTCTGGGGTCAGCGCCTTGCACGGACCCAATAATCACAGACTGCAGTGCATGCTTGATGATGTGCACGTTAAGAGGGTGATGTGGACAACAGTATCATGTGAGGATGGTGATTTTTTTTTTTTTTTAATTAAATAGTTGGTAGATATTGTTTGTATTATCTCAATCATGTTTTACTTTGGATATCAATGCACCAGCAAACAACTCAAGGGTGATATTTGGCTTTAGCAAAATCAAAAAACAAAAAAAAGCTTCCTCCCTCATCATTTTTCCAGCCTAGATAAGGTGATTTACTAACAATATTTTTTATAGGGCCTTATCTAGAGTTGTGATGATTAGGGTGATGAGACAGAATAGCACATGCATAAATTTTTAATTGGCACTTTATAAATATCTGTTATGTCTGTTATTACTGAAGATAATGAGGAACATAGTGAGAAGGAAGTTGTTGGCAGATTGTAGTAATGATGATGAGACCTGTAGTGATGATGAAAATGATGACAGGAATGGTTAATGTGATATTGAGGACGATGTATATTGAAAGTCTTTGCAAGGGTATTGTATTGCGATCAAATGAATCAATGATTATTAATGTATAATTGAGTACATGTAATGTAGACTCTAAAGATACCTTTTAATATAATGTGCATAATGAATACAATCAACTGCAAATTATTTAATAATTGAAATACATTATACAGATACACTATTAATTTAACAGGTACAGTGTTAAAACTAGCATCTTGAATTTGAAAATTGAAGTGAGCCCTCTCTAATTTTTCCATTGCTGGAATATTATCAATTATACAAAATTGTTAAACATGATTTTTTTAAACATACAAGAATACAGAAAATAGTAAATAATCATATGTTTTCAAATTAAAAATTTAATTAGCATTACATACTAATTTAATACTAAATAAGAATGATGAAAATAATATAAGTACACTGTGAGAGGTGTACGACCCTTATAAGAGTATAAATATTATTGCCATAATAGAATAATTGTGGAATAAAATACTATCATTTTTTCATTCCTGCCTGGTGACAATTACATCTAAACTTCTCAGAGCACTTTCTTCACCTCTTGGTCAATATTCCTAGTCACGTTTGAATACTGTATTCAACATAAGCCTACTGTAGATCAATCTTTGTCGTACCGGGTACCTCATATCCTTTGGTTGTGGGAGCCAACATACAAAAAGTGTCTTAAGCATTATTAAAGTTTGATTTGGTATTGTGGAACTAACCTTGTACTTTGTGACCAAAAAAGTTAGCTGAGCAAACTATATATCCCCCCTCCCCCGAGCATGTCCCAAAAAGGATTGTTTTATTAAATATTTTGTGTGCCCAATTTTCAAAATTTTGATTCCTCTATATTTAGATGCATGGTGTGATCTGGCATTTTAACAGGAATGAATACCACCTCATAATTACATCCAAGTGTGAACAATGGTATGATTTAGCTAACGTGAATTTATCCTATGTCTTGGTAAAAATTAATAGTTTCTAGTTTATATTTTCCCAAAGAATTAGTAAAATACTAAACTAAATTTAATTCTGATTCTAAATTACCAATGCCCTGTACTAAAATCCGGTCTATTCAATTTTTTCTATACACAAATATTTCAGCACAAATATATAATTGATTTTATATTATACAGTATTTATATTACAATATATTTGTAGCACGTTTATTTCATTCATAGGAAAATCTATTAACACCAACAGAAACAGATAGTTTACTATCAGGGTGCACATTTCCTTTTTTTTTTTTTTTTTTTCCAATATATATAGTACTGCTTTTATATCAATAATTTTTCATACCTTAACAGTGCAATATTAACTGATTTATACTTCTGTATTTATTATTGCACTCATAATTACATGAATATTTTTAATGATTACAGTAACTAAACTAAAGTACCTTTTTGTTGTCTTTTCGAATGCTGTATACTTTTTTAAATTTTTTAATGTATTTTGTAGTAATTTTGTGTATGGTTTGCCAACAACCAAGTAATTACTTGTACTGTACTTTTACTTTCACAAGACCAATAAAAGTTCTGTATTTTGTATTCTATAGATACACAGCACTTTTACAAAAATATTTACTACCGTATATCATGGAGGTGACTAAATTAATTAAGTAATATTCTTCATTTACTTAATTAAGTGGAGCTGATTGATTAAGATGCTAATTGCCTTCCAATCCCTTGATACCAGGTAGAAATATTGTGACACCATGATTTTTCTTATAAAAACATCTCCACTAACTCATTAGGAGACCTGGTAGTGGGGTTGGCTACTCCTGCACCGATTACGGCAGGAGTAGCATTAAGCATTTGTGAACCCAGTGAAAAAAGTGCTTCATATCAGAAAAGAAAGGCACTATATAAACTAGACTTGCTATGTCTGTAAAACAGAACATATGCCTTTTCATCATAGCCATAATGAGAACTGATTTTTAAGTTTTAAGTAAAAAACAAAATCATTAAAAAGTAAAGTGAAAAATACATGAAAAACAAGAGAAAATCATTATGAAGCAAAAATAAACGGAAACAAACTTGACCCGAAGTGAGCTGTAATAGTAATAGCGTGGGTGATGTGGAGAGTTGCACCATAGAACCCGACCTTGCAGAATACATGTTTAGTTCATTTACCTTGCGCAGATAGGTTGATTGAAAAAATTGTTTATGCATTTCTAATTTTGTGTTTAAACTAGCTGCAGCTAAAAAACACAAATTTGAAAGTGTAATATACTGTTTATGGATATTTACAATATGTAGAATAACCTTAAATTTTTGACAAAATTTTAAGAAGATCCATGCGTGGAGAGTGGACAGAATAACATAGGAAAACAGAATAAAAGAAAAGATAAAGCCAATAAACCAAAAAAATATAGAGCTTATTGAAAACCAATTTCATGCTGTAAGTGGCAAGTCAATTGCAGTAGGCTGAAAATAGTGGTCATACCAAACCTAATATTTAGTGTTGTGACATAGTATG